TGTATAGCAATCTTTCTTAAGGGCTTTCTTTCCCCCATGGGGTGACCTCTTTCCTGGCTCTTTGAGATAAATTCTCCAAGATTCTTGACCTGATCTGATGGAGGTGGAAAACTGAATGGCACTTTTAAAACCACTAGTCTCTACATGAACCCTGTGTCTGGCATGTATTGCACCTTTAAAAAATGAAATAAATAAATGCTCTTCCTGCACCAAAACTCAGCCATAGCTTTAGCATCTTCAGACATAAAGGCATTTCATGCAGCCTGTTGAATTAAAGGGATTTTCTGCCTGATTCTCGTAGCTAATTTTTATGTATACAACACTAAACTTGTAAAAAAAAACTTAGTCAAAGCAGTAAGGCATTAAGAATAAATTGCTGAGAGCTCCAGTGAGAAATGTGTCATGCGAAATCATGGAGGAAAGAGCCAGCAGCTGTTCATATGTTCCTGGGAGAAATAACCCTTTCACAATGACACAAGGATAAGACAGGGGAAAACATGTTTTACCTCTCATAAGCTCCAGTACCTTGATATAAAGCCACTTCTGATTTAGAGGGGGTAAAAGAAGGGTACTGATTTTCTGACAAGAAATGCAAATTACTCTTAATACTTGTTGCTAGTTGTAGTCCTGTAGATTGATCAGTGTATATAATTTTTTCCCACTAAATTACAAGATTCATCTGGATTTTGGCATACTTATAGATAATTGTTATGTTTCTTTTTGATGCCCATGAAATACAGGTATGTTAGTGTTTGCATTTTTAAAGGAAATCATATATCAACTACTGTTTCTGGTCTAAGAACAATACAAGGACATTGTTATCCTTAAGCTTTTGTACTCAAGGCTGGTTAAGAAAGCCAAAGCAAATTCACAGTTCAAAATAACGTATTTCTAAGATTTAGGGGTTTTTCAAGAGTCGATAAGTTATTTTTACCCCACTCAAATGACACTAGATACAGAATAGTTATGGTAAACTTGGTAGGTTATTGCTCAGAATCCAGTATCTCCTAAAGTCTAATCACTACAGGCTCTGGATGTGTGGATTTTATTAATATTCCTGAACTGAGTCATATAGACATGAGTTATTTGAAGTGGCACTGCAATTTTTCCCTAGCTACTTAATAACTGCTCTGGAAAAACTGTTCAGATTCTGCTCTCGCTGCTGGAGGAAGCTGGTACGTTAACCCACTTTGCTTACTTTGCAGTTATTTAAATTTATTATTTTGGGGAGGATTTTTTCAGAACCTTGGCCTCAAATTCGTAAAAGCTCACCTCTGGAGGAGCTTTTATCATTGTTTCATCTGCAGAGGAAGTGATAGTATAAAGAATTCTTTTGCTTTTGAAGATTCTGATAGCAAATGGTCTGAGTGGAGCAGGATTGTCTCAGGCCCTGTGGCCAGGACACAAAGCTTACCTATTGAGGGCTCTCTGGATTCAGTATTTCCGAGTCTTTCCCTGTCTCTGCCGTTTGTTGTGCTGACTGTTTTCAAGTGCATAACTGCTCCCAGTAGCCTGTAATTGCAAGGTCAGTCTAAGGTGAAGCTGTGCCTTGTTTAGGAGAAGACATGAACAGTCTGTTAGGCCATATGTTGTTGCCTTGTCCTTTTCTTGAAGCCTTTGGGTAGCTCAGCCTGTTATGTACAATGATTATGAGCACCAAAATCTTTCAGAGTATACAACTGGGGCCAGCTTAGCTCCAGTATACTTGGCAGCTTTGTAAAGTCTCAGCTTGAGTCTTAAATGGGCATAGTAAGAAAGCTGTTCTGCTCTGATACTTGATTTTGAGGGTTAGCTGCTCCATATTCCCTGATTTTTCTTGCTAGCTTCTGGATTTTTATTGCAGAGAACGAAGCCCACCAGGTATCTATTTTTCCCATTTGTTTTCAAAAGCATAATTTTTCCCATATCCATGGATATGACTGCTCTGTATCAGCCAGCACCTAGTGTCTGGAGGAAAATTTTCTCAAATAATTTTTTGGTTTTTTTTTTAAGAACTGAGACTTTCTCTGCCATGAGTGCAAAATTGAGGAAAGGGTCAAACTATGTAAGGATAGTGCTTTGACAAGTAGCTTGCTTGTGGCCTTCCCCTGATGTTCAGTCTAGGTATTTGCTCTAGCTATTAATTTCATTAGAAGCATGTAAGGACAGAGATCTATTATTTCCTCGTTAAAAAAAAAAAAAAAAAAGCACAGGCTACAGCTTTGTTTTAAAACAGATTATGGTTGCTAAGTAACAGTCTTCCCTAAATTGAGTGTCTTCCTCAAAAACTAATCCCAAAGTCTTAAAAAGTGAGAAATTAAAGATGCGATAAATCTTACTCAGTCCATGTGATTAACAGACATTCTGAGTTAAATAGGTCTCCCTGTTGTTGGTGGAGAAAGCTTCCACTGGCTCATTGACATGAGTATTTCTGCGCTGACTCTCATCCAGAGTAGAGAAATTTATAGTGTAACATACTTATTTGGCAAATTCGTATTAATGAACTAATTACTAGATTTTTTCCACATTGCCTCCAACTTCTCACATCTGTGGTGTTGTTTCACTTTGGTCTTGAGGCAGATAAAGAAATAAATATAGGAATGAAATTGGACACTGTCATTAATTCAAAAGGAACAATGTTTCAGGCTCAGCTAATGATGACTGCTTCCATCAGTGCCTATGTTGTGTTTCCCAGTGGATTATATTAGTTATGGGTGTAGCACAGCTCTGCTTTTTCTTGCAATGCTCACAAAAAGACAGGAAATCAGATTTAGGTTTTAGATTGAGGACTAGAAACACATCCTTCTCCTTCACAGCCAGTGCTTAATAGTGTAAGTCACAGCACCTCTTGATCAAGTCAATAAATCTCCTGCAGTGCAGAGACACCCAGGGTAACAACATCTGAGGTAGCACCAGGGATAGAAGTGAAATAGGCATGTCAGTGGGCTCTGCACCTGAGCTACTGAGCTCTGCCTGAGGAGGTTTATTAGCTGAAGAGAAGTGCTGCACTAACGCTTTTGGACCAGGGTTAGTTCACCTCTGTGATGCTGTGCAAAGTAAGTAAATGAGCATGGTTAGGCACTTGCTTGGATGTTTAAGTTCTATCCACCCACATTGTAGACATGCCTTCCAGTAATTTTGTTGGTGAACTTGGTTAGGTTTTATGATTTCTTTCTATTTCTTTCTCATTTGAAGATTTCAAAGCTGATGACAGCTTACGGAAGCTGCCAGATATTATCGCAGTTGATACTACTTTTATGTTTGTTAAGCTTAGGGACACGATTAGACCTTGAAAACTGACTTAGAATGTGAATTTCTCATTCAAATATATAGAAAGCCACTTTCTCAAGTCTCTCAACATATTTAAATTTCTTCTCTGCTTTCCAAATGTACTTTTAAGAACAGTACTGAAGCCAGCATGCACAATATGATTATTTTGTGTCTTTGCAATTAATCAGACAATACAGCAGAGTTAATATTTTAAGTATACTGTTTCCCAGCTACTTGGTACTTCAGGCATCTGGGCCTAGTGCACTTGCAGGGTTTTTTTTGCTCTTGAGCATCCCTGCCCATGGCAGGGAGGTTTGAACTAGGTGGTCTTAAATGTCCCTTCCAAACCAAAATTGTTCTGTGATTCTGTGACTGAGCTTTTATGTTCGGCCTCCATACATCCTGTCCTTGCTGTGGCATGCTTTTAGTGATGGTGGGCTCTTGTGCATTCATGTTTGAACTACTCTCAGCTTGTGTCTCAGGCTGAAGACTGGCTGGTTAGAGCATGTCATTGAATGGGAAGTCTGTGCAGAGTCATGTTCTCAGCTGAAGAGCTTCTGGTTCTTCTGCAGGTGACAAAAATACAACAATAGGTAACTGATGTTTTAGTGGAAGGATCCCAATTTACTCACACCCACCCCACCTCTCAGCCCCCCTCACCCCAAAAAAAGGCAAAGTATCCAGAACATCACCAGACTCAGGAAGATGGGAAGCTCACAAAACTGCATTGTAAATCAGAGACTATTAAGTTATTATTTCTGTCCCTTCAGATTTAAGTCACTGAGGGTTGTTTTGTCCTTGTCTGTCTAAATGTAATCTCCTTAGAAGCAGGTTGTTTTTTAAAACGATATTAAAAACCCCTGTAAAACCAGATCCTCTCTGTTTTCTGCTCAGTAAAAGGAGTGAACTGAGAAAATCCGGCCCATTAAGTGTAACCTGTGCTGTTCCTCTGTGGAGGAATTTTTTGTGTGCATGCGTGTTAGGATCTATTTAAAGCATTTTCATGAATTGTGTCCATTTAAGCAAGTAATTCGGATTGTTTGTAACAGTAACCAGCTCCCTCATTACCTACCACTCCATGAATCTCTGTCAACTAAAAAGTTTAACTGCCAAAAATTTTCTATTCTCCTTCATCAAAAATATCCTCAAATCATCAATTAAAAATATTGATGAGAATTAGACCAAAAATGATCTTTGAGGAACCTCACTATTGAGTTGCCCAATTCATTAATGTCTTCCCAGTCACTTTATTTTCAGATGTGCCTGTAATACCCATTTTTAATAGCCTCAGTGGATGATGGATTGCTACTTCCTTATACTGTCATTTTTAAAACAGTAAGATTTTAAAATCAAACTGTCATGTAGTACTAAATATATTATTTTTTTTAATCCAAATATTTTATCAACAGAAATGTTACTAACATCCAAACTCATATCCTGTCAGAAAAGGTTAGTGATTCAATTGAAAAGGCCTAGTTACCATGGAACTTGTTGTCTGAAATAGTTTGTGTTTGGTTTTTTTTTTTACTTTTTTTTCATGTTGATAGTCTTTATTTTTGAATGATCTATTTAGATATCTTAGGAGTCATATCAGGTTATTCAGAGTTTAAATCCTTATCAGCACCATCTCCACTTTTTTTTTTTCTACAGACTTCTAACTATGGAACCAAATTTACTTTTTTTAATCATGTAGAAATTATCTGTTTTTTCAAGAGATTTATCAATAATTAACAACATTTGGAAAAGCCCTGTATCCTTTAAAAATAGTAGATTGTACTGTCATTATCTTTCCTTTCTCATTTATGTATTTGTGGCTTTCATCAGTCTTTTCAAAGCAATTTGAATAATAATAATCAGAATAATTATTATTTAAGTATCATTATCTTAGTCACACCTGAAATATTGCCTTTTTTGAGGTCTCTAGTAATGAATGTGTAGTTTGTTTCTAGTTTCCTTAATACTTCTCTGATACTTCTGTGCTCCCAAAATACAGTTATGGCGATAGATGCTTCAATTTTTGGGAAACTGTTCTTATTGTAAAGTGTTTTCTTTAGTGTTTTCTTTACCAAATGCTGCTTGAAGGAAATAAATGCGACATAATAACTGGTTTTCAATTCATCCACTAAGTTTTTATGTTAGGTTTTAACACTTCTGTCACTGAAACTCAGTATTGCATTACGTCTGTTGGCTGCTGCACATGCTCACTAAACAAATTATTGTTTGCTGTTTTAAAAATTATACTTGCTATTTGAAAGGAGTGGAGTGGATGATCCCCAGTATCCCATCTTTGGTTTTGTGTGCTATAGTTCCTAAATTCTACATTATCTGCTGGAAGGATGATCTAGACACAGTGATGTACTGCGTCACTGGTAAGCTTGAATTCCACTGTCTTAGTATTATGATTCATTCCACTGGGTTTCAGTTATATTTCCAATACTTTGGGTTTTTTTCCTCTATGTATGAGTATCTTCAATTTTTCTTGCCTGTTACTTAAGCAGATAATGTTCATTGCTGGGAAATATTATTTTTTTAAAAATATGTCCTTTGAAGAGTTCAGTGTAGTTGTATTTATGTTGTGAAACTAAGCTTACATGACAGAGCGTTTGTGCCTTAATTAGTCTATTGAATGAAAAACCTTTCTGGCTACCCAGTCATGTTTATTACTTTGGAGAGTGAGATTTTACAAGGGTGACGCCAACTGAAGCATAAAGCTCCCTCTACCATTAAAGACTTTTCAGTTCTTCACAACCCAAAATTCTACCTCTCAGTCCCACACTAACATTTTTGCTCAGCCACAGCTAGCTTTACAGATGTAGCAAATTCCTTGTTCTTGAGGGAAAAGGGACGTTCATGACATAACTTTCTAGATATTCCCCTCCAACAGCCTAAGGTCTTCCTGGATCAGTGGAACACAGGTTGGTAAGGTGTCAGAGGCAACCAAAGGAGGCTACTGCCAGAGGAATCCCTCTTTATCATCTTTTCTCTTTCACTACTGGAACGAAGAAAACTGTCCTGGCTGTGAAATGTCCTGCCTGTTCAGCTGCCCCTGGAGCCTTCTCTCCACGAGCAGGCTCTCACAACCTTGTGGGAGGTCAGCGCGTTTTGAACTAGACCATAGTTCAGCTGTTTCTTCCAGTTGCTTTTTCCGTCTCTTCAGATGACTCATTCAGGATAGTGATGTACCTTGGGTCCATCTGTGAAGATACACTTTCATCAGACAGCCTGCAAATTGACACTGGAGCTTGGTATGTTAGTGAAATACATAACTTTAAGATGCATACTCAGTCTTTGGCAGGCAACAATTGCAATGATGTCTACATTGTCACCAAAATATGAACATTAGAACACTTTGACCAATTTTGAAAATTATGAAAGTAATAAATACCTTCATTATTTTTTTTCTCAAACTCATTTCTCACAAATGAATGATTTGTCTTTAGAAGTAAAATTGCATTGTACTTATTTCTGCATGATTTCCCGAATTACCCTGAGAAGGTATAATTTTATAAGATTGACGAGAACGGGAAAAGTTTACAAGAGAGAAATAATCCATCAGATACCAATTATATTGTGTCCTGTTACTTTAGCTTTGCAGTCTAGATATCTGGTAAATTTAAAACAAACTGCTAAGTAATTTCAGTCGGGCTTTTCCTGTTAATTTTTCAGATTTTTGCTTTTCTTTCTTTTCTGCTGTCACTTTAATCATCCAGGTTTTTTGTTTTGATCAAAGTCAGAAAGATCATTGTTTTTATTTGAAAATAACTAGTACAACATGAATCTCTCTTGTCTTTTTTAGGATATGCTTATTTGTGATCTACTCTAATAATTTACAGAGATGCTTAAGAGAACCTGTACTCATGGGTATAAAACTGGCAAAACAGAAATCCCTGTTAATGTGAGAAATAACTTTCTTTCACTTAGTTTAAGTACAGTGTTGAAATGAAACATTAGTACAAAGAGATTTGTATTTTAGAGATCAAGTTATTGTGGTATTATGGTAATAATAAAACATTTTCATAGGTCATCAAGCTTATAAAGAAAATGATTGATAAGGTTAGGGAATCTATACAGAAAATTAAGGCTATTTAACGTATTCATGACAGACCCCTGAAAACAATAAGAGCCTTATTAAGAACTTCTGTTGCTAGGAGACAGTAACCACAGTGTCAGAATAACGTTTTTATTTCATATAAGAAATACTGGTTAACACACATAGTTAGATAATGAGTAAGGACAGCTAGGTGATGTAAAAGACTGCATGAAATGATTAATTTGTGAGATATGAAGCTAATAAAAACTGCAGGTCTTTGAAAGCTACCTTAGCGTAGTGTGCCCCAAGAACAGACTGATGACCAAGACTTGTTTGAAGCTTGACCAGCAGTAGGTGGTTACCCTGCTCCAAAGTATTCAGGTGAAGTAGTTCCAGTTTGTAAATCAAATAAGAATGAATAAAGGTAATAAACAGCTTTGAAAAATGAGATGTTTATACAGCTGTTTAATCTTGCTGATAGAGAATCAGGTTCAGTATGGGAAAGAATAGCATGGTTCATAATGTCATAGAATAAACTAAACTGTCTAAAAGAAAAGTTTCTAAAATCATCAGGACTTTAGAGAGATATGAAGGAGGATCTGTGTCACCCGGACACATGCAGTACTCTATTCTAGGAGGTGCCAGGAAAGCTTTGGGAAGACTACAGCTAAAAAAATATCCAAATAGTAGATTCTTTGTAGAAACAATGTCGTGACTGATATCTACTAGTTGCTTTAACCAGAGTAATTCTGAAATAAGTATATAAATAAATGGGTAGAGGAAATTTGATCTGGAAAGCATGATCCATATCATTAATGTGTAGTTATAAAAGCCTAACAGAGGGGGTGTCTTGTTGAACTTCAACAAGGTACATCATAAAGCTCACACCACACTTTGGTTGTGTACATATTCTCCACAGTGATCCTGTTTTCCCAGTTTTGCTAGCATTAGGGACTCCTTATAGGCCACGTTGACCACATTCAGCTGGACTCCAGGCAGATACAGGAGCCTCTGACTCCACTCGCCTGGTTCCCCTTAGCATTGGTGCTTTGAGCTGGAAAGTATATAGGCTTTGGTGTATAGGTTGTATATGCAGGAGAAGATATTTTTTAACAGCGGGGTCCTGTTATTCTCCCAAACATCTTTTCTACATCTGCTTTGCATGGAAGCAACATGCAAGCTGGATGTAGCCCCTAAGCAACCAGTTTAGGCACACTAAACTGCTCATCTAGTTCTCCATTTGTCATTTCAAAGTCAGGAAAACTCATAATTAGTGTTGCCTGTGCAGTTCTAAATCTGTTTCAGTGTGTATGTCCATCCTGATAAGAGTGTTTAATTACATAGTCATAGCCATTTTTTTCTCAGTGAGAACCATCAGTCCTATAGCTATTGAAAACTTTTCCTGTTACATGTTCTTAGGCCTCACTCATTGCTAGATAGACAAATCTTGTTAATTCTCCTGGGTCTTTTCAGTGGTATTTATCACTGTTGTGTTTCATGTGTCTTTCAAATAAGAATGAATGTCTTTTCATATGTGAAAGGTTGCTACTGTTATCATTCTATAAAGAGGAATAGAGATAAATGGTTGACATTAAAGTTGCTAATTTTGAGCATCCAATCTGAGTTGTCTACAACTTGGTATTTGAGTCAACTACAATACTGCTGAAGCCCACTGACTTCTGCACAGCTCTTCCTCTGGGTGGCTTCTCCTTATTGTCTAGGATCATCAGCAAGGGCACAGACTGCTCTGTGACCTGTACTTGAGATCTCCAATACTGGCCCAGAACTGCGATTGCTGACAAAACCTAAATCCGAAATGGACTTTGTTATTCTGAACCATGAATTCTCCCCTGGAAACACAGGTAGTGTATATGCTTTCTGAAGGTGACAGATACCATCTTTCAAAGAGGGGAGGAATAGTTAACACCTCTTTTCTTATCCAGTATGCTATCAATTACAATTCCCACCTAGGCTGAGACAGGGGCTCCTATTTTTGTTCTTTCTGAGGGTTTGCAAACCTATCTGATATATTGGGGATTATCTCTACCCTACCAGCAAATTATGTTGGAGCTGGAACATCTTACTAACTCCTGTTAAAATGGTTACATTTTCATGCATAAGAGTTTGGGGCTGGGTATTTTTTGTTTGTTTTTTTTTGGGGGGGGGGGGGCAGACAGAGAGTTAAACTCATTTGAGGGTGGAAGAGAAGAATGTGAGTCTTTCACTTAAATATTAGAATATTCATGTGCTGACATTAATATTTCACTGTATTGTAGCTCCTGTATAACGGAAGTTCTTTAGCTGGAACAAAATATCTGACCAATGCTCTTGACTGAATCACCCCATGCCCTGTTTTCTCCAACCACACAAAAGAACTCAGTTTTAAGTCCAAATACCCAGAAATAAAACAGTGACATTTTGGATGGTTTTACTAAAGCCCCAAACAAGTGAAAATGTAATTTTATGATGGAACCTTTTGGTGATACTTTGTCTCCTGTTGTAACTTACTGTTATTTAAATTGCTGCAGAAGAACTGAGAAGGGGTAAAGTTTCTGACTGTTTTTCTTATAATGAAATAATTTAAATATCCACAATAAGAACCGTAATATATTTGGCATTGCCCTTCTTTGTGTACAGGTAGTTGGGTCACACTCATTCTTTCCCCCTTAAACAGGAGTCTTAGCATAAGGTCACAATAGCTGTGAGCAAGTTTATAAATATAGAATAGGTTTTATTTGAAATACTGTTTTGGAATAACAGGTGATTATTGTTATTTTAAAGTTTTTTTTCAAAATTACAAATTTATAATTATGAAAACTGAAAAAGCGTGCAACATTAGCAAGAGCTTAACCAGAAGGAAGGAAAAAAAAAATTTGAACTGATTTTCATGAATTAGGGAGTTTTTTTGAAATTTCATTGATCTTATTGATGGGAACCTTTTGAAGCTCAGTCAAGACAAATGCAAAGCCCTGTACCTGGACAGTAAGAACACCTCCAGCACAGGCTGGGGGACAGCTCTGGTAAAGAGACCTGCGGGTCTTGGTGGACTGCAAGCTGAACAAGCTTGAATAAAAGCAGAGTTGCAAGACTGATTCCCTTGCTATTGCTGGACAATTGCATGTTTAGCACACTTGTATATCTGGCAGCATTTAGGACTTAGACTTCTGCAGGGAAAGAAACATACAAAGTAAGTACTAAGTGCTGACCATATTTTTTTAAAGCATGGCCTACGAGCTTTGACTAGAGCCTTTTGCAGTTTTGGTGACTGTAAACTTTAGCCTTGGCTGAACTGTCAAAAGAACAGATTCCCATGGGATAGTCAGTAAGTTTGATCACATCTTCCATGTATCACATCTGCGAGCCTGCCTGTTAAAGGCAAAAATAAACAACAAACCAACCAGTTTTCATGCTGCAGAACTTCTAAAATGTCTAAATCAGAAGAGTATCAGCAAAAATATTGCAGACTGAGAATTCATTTTGAGGGTTTTACATAGCTTAATCCAATAACTGGCTGTTATGTCCCAATGAAAGAGTAGCCAACTGTCTAATTTCTTTAGTCTTACTCAACTGTTTTGGCTTTATCCTCTGAAGGATACTTCAGAAGACATGATCAGTAAAAAAAAGCAGTGTTTGCTCTACAAGGTTTACTAGTCTGGGCATAATGTGATGCTGACAACTAGGCTGACAGTTTCTGTACTCACGCTGATTTATGTCCAACTGGGGAGGTACATATAGAAGGGTTGTTTCTACTAGTCTATATCTCTCTGCCATATCGTACAAAGAATAAGCTGTGATTATAATATATGTGATGTGGGAGGTCTTGAAATAAATTTTAATCTCGGTGATTGTCAGGAGAGGCTGAATGGTTTTAGCACAGAGAACTGAAAAGTGTATTTCTGAACTGGTTTCACCTTTATTTCAGAGAAATCAGGAAGGTGGCAATTTCATAATTTCTTACAAGTGTTATAAAGATCTAGAGAAGAATACTGTTCATTTGAATTTGGAAGAGAATCCAAGTGAATGCTTTGCATCAGTAAACTTCAGAGTGCTCTAGTAATTCGTCATGCTTCACAGGAAGAAAAGCAAATTGAAGGAAGTGTGTGTGTAGTGTTCTTAGCACAGTTTTGGATTTAGCTGAACTTTACTCTTCAGTTCACTGGCTTGCATGACATTAAGAAGACAAGAAAGGTCAGTCAAATGGCAACATCAAAAAGGTTCTTAAATTCCAAGGATGGCTCTTGACTTTGGCCAGGCTGGTGAATCCTTAGCTAATTGTCATGGTATAGCAGCAGACAAGCACTCCACTCCATATGTAAAATTATGTTCTTTTGATTTTTAAATAACATGCCATGATATAGCAACATTCCTGAGTTCCCACCACAATAAAACAGATTTTTTGAATTTGCTACTTAAGATTTCTAACAGATTCTAAAAGACGGAGGCTTTGATTTGTGTAAAGCTGTTCATAGTACTGTTTAAGTTTTGACCTTCCCCTTGATGTGATTAGAAGTGGGAATATAATTAATATTTCTTCACTAGGGCCAGCAGGTCAGTAGTTGCCCAGGAAAGGAAAAATGTAATATCTATGCCAAGTAGGAGCTCTGCTTTTTGAAGTTCTTTCTTGTACCAAGTGGGGTTTCAGTTTGGTAGATAAGGGAGCTGTAATCAAAACCTCAAAAATGCAAAAATTAAGGACTCTTTGAACTACTTACATTTGACCTACAAGTTTCTTTAATCTCAGTGTATCTCCTGAATAGACCTTTAGCCAGTTTCACATACAGTTATTCACTATACTCAACTCTTCTTCACATGAATGGTGTTGAAAATTGTAGTAAGGCTGGCAAGCTTCCAGAGTTAGCAAACTGTTACAGAAGCACCTTCATTCTTTGGAGAGCAAACAGTAAAGAATAAAGGAGTGTTTCTCAAATGTCCACAGATGGAAATTAGCCCTGATCATTTATGGGTGGATGCTAGCAGAATAGTGGCATAAATTAAAAATACCAATAAAATACTATTCAAGTGATTGAATTGAAGACATCAAGGCCAACTAGTTCAAGAAAGAAAATGAAAAGAAATAATTCCAGAGATGACTGCTGATTTAACTTGTTGCAATTAATACACTTCAGTGCCCTTGGAATGCCTCAAATTGATGAATGCAATGGTAATGACTACTGAATCCATCAAAAATAAACACATTCATTGTGGCTGACTTTTGAATTTAAAACAACCAGAACAGAAAGTTAAGCCATCAGGCAAATTTGAGGCATCTCACCCCTGGAGTATTCTCATTTCTTGTGTAACATAACGCCTGTGCACACTTAGTAAGAGGAAACTGGAGTGATTGGGCAAGACCTACAGAGGTGATGAAAACCATCATTAACAGAGAGTTTTCTTTAAGTTCCTAAGAGATATTTATGCATCAGTTCACTTCCAGGCTGAATACATTTTGCAACTGTGGGTGTGCATGACCACTGAGAGAAACTTTTCTGTGCATAAGTACATATTGATTGTTTCTAGGTACTCCACCATGAGCATTACATTTGTTCTCCCAAGGCAAAAAGCCAAGTTACTCCTTGGAACTATTTTTTGGATTCTGTTAAATGGCATTTAACAGAATGTATTGTAATGATTCCAACAGCTGAATGGACAGATTCTGGCCAGACTAATTAGTGCCCTTTAAAAATTTTGTGAACACTGGGCCTACTTTTTGTTATGCAGTGGAATGAGAAGTTTCAATGCCTTTAGAAGACCTGCAAATAGATGCCACTGTGGATGCACACCACATCTTAAAGCTGATATCCCAGAATTCCAGATACTGAATCAATAGCTGTTGTATGGGTGGCTTCAATTGCAGTATAAATACATATAATGATAATAACAGCATTACAATTGATTGTCTAATAAAAAAATATTAAAAAATAAACCTGAAAGCTAAATGTAGGATAGAATATTTCAGTTGGAAGGGATCTACAATGATCATTTAGTCCAACTGCATGATGGCTTCAGGGCTGACCATCCGTTAAACATGTTAAGGGTGTTATCCAAATGCCTCTGAAACACTGACTGGCTTGGGGCACCAGCCACTTCTCTGTGACTGAAATGCAGTATGGAATCCCTAAGAATCCCTTATAGGTAACTGCTCCAAAGAATTGCACCTTAGTCACATGGTTCCATTTTATACGGAAAGACTGTACTAACTTTCACTACTTTATTTATAATATAGTTACTGTTTTTTATTTGCTCTGAAAGATACATAGGGGTTTTTTTGGGGGGGGGAAGAGGGGGAGGCTGGGGGGAACCCCCTTCTGACTATATTGTTCCAGCCATCTTAATTTTAAGTTATAATGGGCAAATTCCCAACTTCCTGGTATTCTGTTAGAAGCCAATCCCAAGCCTGTCACTCTGATGGTAAGGAAGAGAGTCTTTGGAGAGGCAGCATCTCATTTGCAGTGAATTCCTGGATGGTTTTTCTTAAATTGGCTCTTCCCCAGGAGTAGCTTAAATGTGGTTATCCATTTAAATAGTTTACTACTGGGAAAACAATGCTCTATAAAGTACAAGATCTCATTTGCAAAGGAGGTCCTGGGGACTGAAAGTGGATATACACGTGCCATGTGTTGCAGTCTCCATCTTCTTCTTTTCCTGCTGTTCAGAAATAATTTGAAAATTACCTAAAATAGGAACAGTGTATTCAATGGCTGATCAACAGGCTCAGATCTGTCTCCACAGCAGAACCTGCAGTGGTAGCCTTCAGCAATAGTTCCTGTAGTCCACAGAAAAAAAAAGAAATGAGTGGTTATTGGGAGGAACAGCACAGCCTCTTCCCAAGAAGGATGTCTCAGAGGAAAGGCTTGGCTGTGGTGTGTAGGAGCCTCTGGCCATGACTGTACTACTAAAGTAGATATGCCTAGGACTGTTCTTTGGTCATGAGAGCATCTGCCCGTAGCAGCTTGTGTCCATGCTGATTTAAAAAAAAAAGAGGGGAAAAAAAAAAGGAATAAGTCTCATGCTCTGAAACAGAGAGGCTGCCTCAAAAATTTCTGGCTGGGTGATGCTCTCTTGAATCATGCCTATGCTAAAGTATGCCAAGGATAGGTCTGATAGCAACAAAAGTTACTGGCTTTAGTACAACATCTCTTCTCAGAGATCCCTTGGAATTATATAATAAAAGGGTTTTCTCTTCCCCTAATTTAGGTAGAGAATAAACTAAATCTTTGGGTCATTCATGCTTATTAAAGAGCCCAAACCACGAGTGATAAAAGTTCTAGGGAGACAAGGCTGCTTTCATACATCCAATGTTTCTTCACTTGACATTATGGAGAATATCTCTGAGGAAATATACTTCAAATCCATAACAGGCACAATGACTGCCCTGAAAATAACAGCCCTCTTATTAATGACAAATGAGCACTGGCTCTTGTTACTTATATGCTTCCTTGAAACATCAGAAAATGTTTTAAACACTATCACAAAGTTCAGTAATGTCATGATATTTGTTGGAACTAAACCTACTATCGTCTGTAGTTTTAGTTTTATTGTCCAACAGAATTAAAAAAAAAAAGTCTCAGAAATAATTGTCTATGTTCTTTTTTGTTTTTTTGGTTTGTTGGTTTGTTTGTTTGTTTTATTTTTTTATTTTAATTTTATTTTACTCAATGCTCCTTTCAGCCTGTTGTGCATTCCATGTTTGGCTGCAGTCTTTTTGGAGAGTTTAAAAGACTTCAGAGACACATCTTAGAGTTTTAACACAGTTACAAAGTGTTGGGACAAAATGGGGAGATCTTCAAATGTGACTTTAATTCTCTGCTGTAGTGTCTATAGCAACAGTGGTACACACTTTTCTTAGCATACTATTAGCATTAAAATTTAATAACATGTAGGGGATATCTGGGCTGTTACACATAGATGAAGAAGACAAGAGTCCTTTTCAGGTAAAGTACATAACTTCAAAATATGCATATTTCTCCCGTATATTCCTCATTTTTTCTGTCATCTATTTTATCATAAACAAAAACCAGCTACAGTCTCTGAAGGAAGCAGTAAAATTAAAGAATGCAGGTACCACTCCTAGGTTTTCCAAATGCTCTAAAGAACAGTGATTTAGATTTTCTAAATTGACACAGTTACTATATTCAATAAATTATTTATTTTTGAGAGGGTAACTTGGAGAAGTGAGTTGAAGTTTCATATACTTTATAAACCCAGCATTTTATCATCAACTGTTTGTGTTCTTCCCTAAACAATGGTTTCTATTAGTGTCTTGTACGATTACATCTTTTTGATTATTAATGGGTTCATAAAATATATTTTTTTTACCCTATTTCTATTTCATTGTTCATTCTATCTGGGAAGGAGTTTTGTTTCTAAAAAGACAAAGAGCCCAGTTGCCTGAATGTAATTGTATTCTCAGTTTACTTTAAGCAGAGATTTTAGTTGATCTAAAGTAAAAAAAGGTTGGTTTTTAGCTGTAAGCCAAGTCAACAGAAGCTGTGCTTTCCCATTTTTCCCCTTTTATTACCTAATTGTTATTCCTTATTGCAAAGTGTCTGCCATTATGTTATTTATTTATTTTGCAGCAGGTTCCTTTTCCTTTACACTTGTTCTAAGGGGTACTAAACCCTTAATGCCACAGTGACCAATGGTAAATCACGGTGTCTGACACTAGGAGACAAAAGAAGCAGGAGGAATCTGTGAAAAATGCCTGCAAGAAGCGAAGCACAGCATGGATGGAGATGATTCACATCTCTGCAGTGAATCTTCAGTAAAAGGTAGCAGAGCAGAACCAAAGACCATTTTCACTCATCTTGAATTCATTTCCCCTGATCTCTAAAGTATTTCCCTGCTACCCACCAGAGCTTTGAACCAGGCTGCATGTCTGAGTACTGCTTTTTTCTTTTTTTTTTTAATTTCCCCAAAAAAGTGAGAGTAAAAAGGGTAGCTAAGAGAGGGACAAGCTGCATGCAAGGAATGCAGAAAAGAAACCCATTTGGATGTCTGTCTCTCTGTCTATTCCTTAAAACTTTCTCACATTTTTGTGCAATCTGATTTAGAATAAAAAGTTTTTCAAAAACATGTAATGACCTTAAGTTCCTGAGTCACTTAAATGCTCTTGGAAATGTTGCTGGAAGTGGACACATCCATACTTAAACAAAAAATGCTTTCTATTTAACAAAGCTACTGGTAACTTTTGATCTATTTTTATAGCTATTTTAGCTGTTTCCTTGAAAAATGAGTCTTTTTCTTTCGCTTTTGCAAGTATTTTAATGTCTGATTTACTAACTTAGGACTACCTTATTCCTGTACAAGTCTATATAAATCTGCATGTTACTTTTAATCAAGGAGAATCACACTTGTTGCTCTTCATCCTGCAAAGCTATAGACACATGCATATGTGAGTCACTCACAGACTCAAAGTAATTTAAGCTTGCACAGATAATATTACTTTGAGTTGGGAGTGACCTCATGGATTCCTCTGTTCTTTTCTACAACTGCAACCACGGTGCAAGCTGATTTTCCTTGGGTTTACGCTAGTGTTAGCATAGCTGAAAAGATACTCTGTATTTTCCTGCATTCCTGGCTGAAAGCTTTTCTGGCATTCCAGCTGGTGTCTGCAGGTCAAGAGACTTGAGACCCAAGTCTGAGTGCTTTCTGATTAACTTCAACTGAAGCTGGAAAAATCAACACAAGAGTTTGCTACTATTAAGGTATTGAATCTGGATTCCTCACATGTTCAAGTTTAAATTTAATTGGGAGTGGATTACCCTATTAAATTCTTTGGAGAGGTGCCTGAATTTTTCCTAGCAGTTGAAGCTCTATACTTGTTACCTAGACTGTCCACAACTGAGACTTCAATAGTCATCATCTAGGCTCCCTCTTTTCTTATGGGAGCTCTTGGCTGCTGTTCACTGTTGCGACTGAATTTTGGATCCTTCTAAAAGAAATAATTTTTTTTCTAAAACTTCTGGGTATGTAGAAGTAATACTATTGTTACTTGTGTGCTACCACATGATGTAACTTTTGTTATAAGATTAGTCTAAATAGGCTGTTAAAAGTTTAAAAGGGAGCTGCGAAAAAGCCTGTGGATCTGAATCTTTGCTAAAGAAGCAGTAATTTACTACCCAAAAACGGGTAGACAGTTAGGGCTGGAATTTTTAATGCCACAGGAAAGTAAAAAATGGCTCATTTCTTCATGCACAAACAGAACAGAATCTTTTTATGCTAAGCACTCTGCTTTATGAACACACACAAGAGCCCCTGTGCTTGTATCTTAACAGAATAAGCCTACCAATATAATATATATTATGCTCATTGATGCTATATATTGTAAGGGTTTTTACTGCAGAAGCACTTTTGCCTTGCCTGGGTCAACAAATATAACATCAACCTTTTTACTTTGCTACCATCAGTGATGTTCTAGAGCCTAATAGCTAGAGGTGGGTCTCACTGCATATCAGAGTGATTGCAGTGAATATAGAATGCTCAGCCTGCCCTGTCTCAGATCTCCAGCTACAGCTCAGGGTGGCAGACAAAGGGAAAAGAGAGAAAACATGTGCATGTGTGCAAGCGTAGGCAGTGTTAACAGAAGGGAATTAGCTGGCTTAGAGCTTTGATTATCAACTACAGAGAGTTTCAGCTCTGGTCTCTCGTCTGAATCAGTCAAATCCACGATATCCAAAAGTAGTTATCAGCTGATGATTATCTGATTGCTTGTGAAGTAATAAGTTTGAACTGGGCTCCCCCAGCGAGACTCACCTGGTGTCTGTGCACCCTTTCCCAGGTGCTCTGGGGCCAGTCGAGGAGGTGATGACCCCAGGCAGCCCCAGCTACCTGTAACCCTCCCTTTGCTGATGTGAGGGCTGCCTCTGCCACAGGCCTGCTGCCGAGTTGCTGGTGTAGTTGCTCCCAAACACATCTTGGTTAAAATGAGCCAAATAACCTAAGAGTATCGGCTAATCTGGCTGGATCTGTCAGGAATGGTGGGGAGATGGCCATCCAAACCCTTCTGCCAGCAGGCTGGAGGAGCTGGTGGGCTGCAGCAGTGGGACTGGCAGGTGGGGCTGGGATCAGCAACCCGTGCAGCCAGCACAGCTTCATCTGCAATGGGATTGATGGGGATCTACAAATACAAATCTGCTTCCTTCACTCTTGTGATAGCTCCAACCTATTTCCAGGGAATAAATCAAAGTAAGAAATCACCCACTTGGCCTTACCATCCTTTGGTTTTTTCTGTTATGGATGTCAGTGAGTTAATGACTGTGACTTAATCTATTAAGACTAAACCTTGGTCCCATTACAAGAGCAGACAAATAATCATTGCTTTCTGTGAAATCAGAGGTTAGTTCTTAAATGATGAGAGAGTTTGTAATTCCTTGACCTGCAACAAGACAAAGGTGCTCAGTGCAGGGAATATAAACACTTATCCTGGACCAGCCTGAAAAGCAACTACTCCTGTGGCCATTCCTTACACCTGGTCAAAGTGAGTAGGGTAGAGTGTGGAAGCTCCTGGTTTCTGCGAGTCCTGCAGCCAGGACAAGGGCTGTGATTTCAGTAATTTTGACAAGCACTGAATTCACTATTAAACATTTAAAAGGAAAGAGTGAGAAGTGGAGATTTTCTTTTGGTTCCAATTTTATAAATCATGTACAGTACTAATGGCATGAGAAAGTTCTGTGGGAGGGAGCAGCAGCAGCTATCCTAGAGACAGGTGTGAGGTGTGGCCCTGAAGTTTGCATTTCTGGAGCCTCTTTCTCAGCATGAGCTGCA